TGAGGTGAGTAAAAGTAATTTTATGCTATTTAGTGCTACTCAAGGTAGCTGTATTTGAATGATATCTCTTCCATACGTGTCTTGTACTTGTGTTTATTCTAATATTCATGTACATGCATTCCATTCATAAACAAGATATCAGGAAAGAAGGAATTTAAAGCATCTTCACAGATGATACAGTTCACAAGTCTACTGAGCACTGTAAATTGGATTTGAAATCACTGTGATGTTCATAGAAACAGAGAAGATGTTAAAACAACCATTCACAATTTAAGCACATCTGCACCTCTGATTATGTTATGCATGCTTTTCATAAGAATCATTGGTCCTACGTCACGGCATTCTTCATGGTTACCTGAAGCTTCATGATAGAGTCTTCCCTTTCCATAGATTTTCCTCATGCCATTTTTAACATGATGCAGCTACAGTAGAATATTTTCATATTTTGACAGGACAGAAACAGAACACGTTTCTTGCAAGAACAGAGAATCTGGATGACAATAGCTGCAAAAAAATGAGGTTCTGATGATTTTGAAGCCTCTATGGTTCAAGTGTTGTTATGTTGCCCCCAAATTAATGAGAGAACCAAAATTTTTGATATAGTACCTTTTGTCTAACTTCTGTTTCTTTAGATGGGTACACTCTTTGTTACAGCTTATTGTCTGCATGGCTTGTGATTGGCAGCACATGACTCTGTGAACTTAGTCCCAAAAACTATATTGGCAAGTACAGTACTTTTATAAATCTGCAGTCTACTAAGAATGTTTAATAACATCGTGGCTACAATGTGTTTACAGCTTCATTGAGACATCAAAAGGTTATGATAGTAGGATTGTTATATTATTCAGTCCTCAATGAGTGTGTGTATGGAGCTTTTAACAACTTCTACAAATTCCTCCTGGAAATACGTTTCCATTCATGGAAGGTTAATTAATTAAAATTAATTAAACTTACAGCAACAGATGTACATATTGTTCACGAGAAACCTCCATTTGCTGTTGTACGATATCTGTAGGTGTCCTACGTCTGTGTTATTGTTTAGTCATTAAGTCGTGTCTGATTCTTCATGACCCTATGGACCACAGCATGCCAGGCCCTCCTGTCTTCCACTGCCTCCCGGAGTTGGGTCAAATTCATGTTGGTAGCTTCAACAACACCGTCCAGCCATCTCTGTCGTCCCCTTCTCTTGCCTTCACACTTTCCCAACATCAGGGGCTTTTCTAGGGAGTGTTCTCATGAGATGGACAAAGTACTAGAGCCTCAGCTTCAGGATCTGTCCTTCCAGTGAACACTCAGGGTTGATTTCCTTCAAAATGGATAGGTTTGTTCTCCTTGCAGTCCAGGGGACTCTCAAGAATCTCCTGTAGCACGACAATTCAAAAGCATCAATTCTTCAGCAGTCAGCCTTCTTTACGGTCTAACTCTCACTTCCATACATCACTATGTATGGACCTTGACTATGCGGACCTTTGTGGGCAAGGTGATGTCTCTGCTTTTTAAGATGCTACATCCTACGTCTGTACTTAAATGTAATACCTGAAAAGCACGTCGAGTCTGTCTTTTGACCCAGCATGTCTTATTAATATAAGATAATGTGTTATTTGCTAGTAATATTAACCTAAACAACTTGCAATTAATTAATTAAAATTATGTACATTTTGTTAAATAATGGCTTAATGTTAATATGCTAAAATTAGCATGCCACATATAACACCCTTGATTTTCACCTCTGAGCAAAAAGAGTAGTGTAATGCTGCCACCTTATGCTCAAAGCTGGAACAAAAACTTGAGGATAACTTATCAAATATATATGGACCATACTTTACTTTTATCTGTAAGTTTAGCCTTTCTTTCAGTCAGAAAGAGTGAATGGGGCTATTTTTTTCTCCCTGCTTTATTGTTACAATAGCATGATGGCATTTTTTCTCTAAACTCATACTTGTACTTTTAAAAATCGCTACATTGACATAAACTTTGCAGCTATCTGAATGGAAATGCTTTGAAATGTCAGGATGTTTGTGCTTAGTGGAATTCCTGATAAATTAAAGTACGTCTAAGACAGGAAACATTTTATGTATAGCCTCTCAAATGTGATGCATTCAGCTTTCTCTGCAGCCTAGCTAATCAGAGATGTTCCTGGCCCAGCTGGTAGGGAAGGGAAGTTTAAACCTTCACATGCCTGGGTTCATGTGTGTACATGCATACACAGTCCCTGACCAAGAGTGGGCAACTTAAAGTTCACCAGATATTTTGAACTACCATATCCATAATTCTTATCTAACCACTTGCTGTGCTGGCTGGAACTTGTGGGAATTGTAGTCCAAAATGTCTAGAAGGTACCAATTTCTCTAGCTACTCCTACAACAATCCCTTTAGGGCTAAAAATTTTGTACACTATAATCTAAAGTCTCAGAATTAGGTATCTCCATCTCTTTGTAGGGATGAATTATTTTGTAGACAGGTAGCTTTATTTTCTAGGCTGGCTAGCTAGCTAAGTGAATTAGTGTGCGCCCCACCTGCACCCCCTGCTGCAGTGCCAGCAGGACCAGGGTCCCCTGGCAATAACTACATAGGCTCCATCTCAGCTTCTTGGCTCAGAACAGCTTTTATTAGTGGTACAGCATCACTTTTCCCCACTTTTCCTCCCACAGTCTCACAAGGCTGAATTATAGTCTCTTAATCTTTGGGCACCACTTGCCATCTTGGAGACCCGTTTAACTTCACTGGAGTTCCCCAGAGTTCAAGTTCTGGAAAGCAAGAAGGAGAGGAGAGCTTAGGTTCAGGAAGCATCCCTTTTAGGGAAGGCTTGTACAGATGAGCACAAGAAGTCATGCTCTGCACCTTGTCTCTGTCAATCCCCTTGCTTGCCTCTCCAGGGCTGCGACAGGCGTGTGGCTGGAATCTCTGACTCTTATCGCAAATAAGCAAACAAACCAGGCAATGGTACACAGCTTCCAGCATTCTCCTCTGTTTCATCCTCCCACACGTCTTCTTCGGAGATAGACAGGGACCTGTGCCTTCCAGCTGTTTCTCATCAGGGAATTCTCTTTCAGCTGCATCAGACTGATCCTGAGAAAACTTACCCTCCTACTGACCTCATCTTGAGAAAACCTATCGTCCTCCCAGCTGCCTGATACTTGTGTGCTGGGGCCAGACACCTTGGTAGGGGTGCACACCTGTAACCCCTCATAGTTAGCTATCTAGCTGTAGAGGAGTTTGATTTCCCACTCCTCTCCCACTGTGGGAGAAAAGCCAGCCTGTGTAGCCTTGGGCAAACTATGTGCTCCTGGGCATCCCCAAAAGAAGGGAATGCTAAAGCACTTCTGAGAAGAGCCATGGCAGGAGTCACTATACATCAGAATAGACTTGTATGTAATTATTATTATTATTAGCTTTTTAATTTATTTAGAATCACTTTTACTTTATTAATATTTCTCCCATTTAGTTTCCTTTGAATAACAAAACCTATAATTACATGACTTATTAAGAACTTCTGAGCCCCTCTACACATGTTGTCCGCATGAAAAAGGTGACATAATTAAAGAAGGGCCCTTCCAGTGCCACTGTCCCTAAGGCAATGTGGCTCTCTGGCCCCCAGTGTCCACATACTCATATTAAGCATCTGAAGAAGGGAAGCCAGAAGTCTATGTGATCACAGTTTCAGCTTTGGACAGGATCTATACACAAAGGCTTTTGCCCTGCAGATATCCATGGTCATTGTCTAGATGTTGGGGAAATTGGGAAGCTCACATGATATTGAGAACCAAAGCAGAAACTCTGCTTTCTCCTTAATTTACAACTTGGAAAAGTTACTGTTCTGGATTGCAGCTTTCATGATCCCCAGCCAGCATGTGCAGTTGCCCTGTGGGCCAGGTGGTTCTACACACTGTAGCATATATTACTCTAGTTAGTCACTTGTGTATACATCACTGTGCCATTGCTCAAACTCAACTGCTCACTACTGGTAGTCCCCCCCATCTGATGGAAATGGTGGTCTTTGAAAATGAAGGATGAAGTATTATTATTAAGTAGCAAAAGTAGTGTTGCTAAGACGTTTGGGTGAAGTCATATTATACTGCCATGCTTGAACATCTGTTGTATACTTCTATGTGTTAAATATTATATAGGAAGATATTACTTTTAAACATATATGCTTGAAAATGTTATATGTATACTTTTACCCATGAGAACTATTACATTTGAAAATGTTTCAGCACAGCCATAGATTAATCTACAACTATTTCAGACACTAATATCCCATTTCTGTGCTTCAGCATACAATCTGAACTTTAAAAATAAAAATGCTATTACACAAGACAGTTTGGCTTCTTTTAAGAGAGTAATTAAGGTATCCTGCTGTTCTAGAGCTATCAAACTGTGACATCTGGACTTTAAAAGGGAGACTTGGTTGTATACATAAAGAATTTAAAATAGTAAGAGCCAGTCAAAGCACTGTGCCAACGGTATATTCATGCATTTCTTCTTTCTTTTTATCCAGAGTAATGAAAATTTCTGTTTTCTAGATTCAGCACCCTGCGTCTCCAGCATCTTTTATTAAACATACAAGACTATGTTTTATATCCAGATTAAACTCTTTGCTCTATTGTCCTACTGAAATAGATGTAAAACTGAGTGGTGGCAGCTCAACTTGTACTGATTCCTTCAGAGCACAACTTGGGCATGCCTCCTACTGTACTGTACCCATCAGCTATGGGGGTTTAGTTCTGAAACATGTGCTGTACCAATACAGCCTGCCTGTATTGAGCATATAGAAATCAATGCCCTGTGTAACCACAAACAGGCTCACTCATTTGCCATTAGATTCAGCATCATTTCTCTCTTTAGCTAGATGAGGTTATAAGTTAAAATTGAGCTCTGCCATCTCTTAATTTACACAGAAAGAATTTAATCACATTTTGAATGAAATCAACATTTAAAGTTTTATTGCTATTAACAGAACTGTATTTCTATGTGTTTTCCTTCCCCCTTTTTCTTCACAGAGAAACTCTTCAGTGCAGACACAAATGTCTCATGGGGATTAATCACCACAACCCCTGATATCATCTTCTTTTTACATCATGGGTCCAGACAGTAATTTCTTAAGCACAGGTTTGCTTCATATCATCGTATGGGGAGGCTTGGCAGCCATGACAATGCTTCTCGTCCTCAGTTTCCTTCTTTTCCTGTGCTCTAGCTGTGACAGGTAAGGTCTTAGCTAAGAATAAGGATGTGACTAATATTCACTCAGGGCTCAGTCACACTGCCAATCTACATCAATTCCAGTCCCAACCTTTTTAACATTGATATAAAGTCACATGGCATATAAATCAGTATGCATGTTCACTCTAGCTTAAATGTCTTCAGTGTACATCTGGTAATTAAAAGCAGTTTGGGAAGCTGCACAGGAATTGACTCAATTTCTGCTTTGTTTGAGGAGCACACATTGGTTAACTTTTTGGCTTATTTTCTTTTTTATATCCATGGTCACTAAATCAATGGCACCTGGTGTCATATACTAGCAAGAAAACATGGGGAAAACACCACAGAGGTTAGCCCCAGCTGATGATTTCTAGAAAACACATGCTTTCATTCGCTGAATGGAGAGAACAGGGAAGGTGGTTTAATATTGAATGTATTGATAAGGTGATATACAGTCAACCCTCGACTTACAAACGTAATCTGTTCCGGAAGGAAGTTTGTAAGTCAAAAGTTCATCGGTCGAATCAGCATTTCCCATAGGAATGCATTGAAAACCAATTAATCCGTTCCGGCTGTTTTTGGTTCTTAGGTCGAGGGCAGTTTGTAACTCGAATCATTAGTTCCCATAGGAACTAATGCAAAGCTGGTTAATATGTTCCTACTACTATTTTTTCCTTTTAACATAAGATGACTTAGGTTTTAAAAAAAGGAAAGAAAAAAGGGAGGGAAGGAGGGAACAGACGCCTTTTCAACAGAACACCTTGAAAAGCACCTTTTCAATCAAGACAAGCCAATACAAGCACCTTTTGGGGAGAAAGGGGGCAGCAAAGGAGGGAGGGAACACCTTTTAAAAATCCAAAAATTTAAAATTTTTTAAAAAGCCGAAAAATAAAAATGCAGTCCGTACAGCACTGTACCAGGCAGTACCAGGCAGTCTGAAGACTGTCTCCAAATCCACTCTCAAAATGCTGGGAAGAGCGAGGAAGCAGACAGGCACCCGCTTCACTGGCCAGCGGTTAACTGAAAGTTCAAATTTCACGCTTTCCCCACCTCCTGCATGGTTTTTTTGTTCGTAACTCGAATCTAAGTTTGCAAGTCGAGTCAATATTTTTCTGTCAGAGTGGTTTGTAAGTCAAAACGTTTGTAACTACAGCTGTTTGAAAGTCGAGGGCTGACTGTAGTGATAAACTCTCAGCAGCAACAACAAAAATTTGTACCACGGTCATACTGTAATAAGCAATGCATTGCTAAAAATTTTAATAAAGAAATTTTTAAAAGGTAATGGAAAAGTGGTGGTGCTCGTACCACCCAAAATCCACATAGGTAAAATTAAAATGGCAGCTATATTCACAACCACTAAACCTGAATGGCCTGAATCGATTTTGGAACCAATGTATTTTTAAAAACCCCTGGAGGCCAGTAAAAAACTTGCTTCTCAGTCCAAATACATTGAGTTGAACTGTGTGTCACGTGTCCAAGAATTTATAAATCAGTTTAAATAATGCTAAAACTGATTCAGCTGTGGTTCTCATTGCCAGTATGATTGAGCCCTAAATACCTCCTTCTCATCTATTTAGCTGTTTCAACATGACAAGATATCTTGACAAGGAATTTTCAAGTTCTCTGAGATTCCTTGCCCATAGTGTGAAAGTGAGACCTGTGTTTCTTCTTTTCCCATCTGAATCTCTACAATTTCTACAAAATGCCTTTGAGAAACACAGACAGAGAGAATAAGCACAGGACAAGGAGATTTCTCAAAAAGAAACAAGTAGCTCATCTAAAAATCAATGAAACAAAGCATTTGTGCAGTTTGTTGTTGGTATTATTTGCATTTTTGCACAGCAGGTTAAAATTCTTGTCAAAACTCACAAAAATTTTCGCCTTCTTGTAGGCAAGGAAAAATGTTAACTATTTCTCATTCTCACATACAAGAAAAAGAGAGGCAAGTACATTCCTAATTAATAATCATACAATAAATGAACAAGCCATTTGGGTCCAGGTTCCGATCCTGTATTCCAGTCCTAGTGGAAGGCATTTGGTATCTGAGATCCTCTCATAGAACAGCCACATTCTAATGTAACCTATACTTTGCTTGGTATTTTTTAAAAGCTTGTACAACATATTTTAATACAGGATTCAAAAACATGTTTTTGCTGCTTGCAGTCTAAAATGCTACCATCCAATTTGCTTTCCCACATCAAAATCCTACAATCTTATTGTACAAGGCCGTCCCGTCCCCATTTTGCTCTAGGTGTAACTAGACCTCTGTGTTTAGAATATTTTCAAACAACTGCAGAAATTAAACACTGCAAAGCATAATATTTACATCAGGGTAATTATAAGGTCACCGCTAAAAAATAACAAGTATATCTGTTTAGTGCTAAAAATCCAGTCTTAAGAGATTCTAACATCAGCTTCTCAAAGTTGATGATGTTTTCATGTAGAAATGCTTAAGGCTGAACTCAATTTTCATCTATGCACTTGATTTGAATTTATCTGAAATTTAAACTTCACTTGAATAGGTAACCAGAATGTATAGCATATAAATTTTAGCACTATACACTGCTGTTCAGTTGAAAAGCAGAATCTATGTTTCACTGGAAGTGCTCTTAAAATAAATAGCTGTGCTCTTACTCTTTAATCTTCCTTGTTTGTAAGGGGAGGGGGAATGTACGAATCATGTAGTTAAATTGGATCTGAGCAGAAAATCTCTAAAGAATCCTTACCAAAGTTTTGTGATTGATAACTCCTGCCCTCTTTTGCATCTTGTATCCTTGAAGTCTCTAAGATATCTCCTAGAGGAAGAAAATGAAGAAAGTGTTGTGTAAGAATCAGTCTTCTGGGTATCTGTAACAAGCTATGCAAATTCAGTTGCCAGACATTATCTGGCAATCATCCTTTAATAATTTAACATATTGCTAGGCTGGATGTGGCATCAGAATATTTGTGTAGCAGGTACTTTCCCAGAAATGCAATTAAACTAAATCCCTTCCTTACACAGATGCTGTTGATATAATCTTTGATGACATTAAAAAAACAGCAGATGCTTTATCAGAAAAGCTTAAGGGAGCAAATTAGTAACTGCAAATAAGAATCATTGTGTACTGCATGGACAGAATCATGGGTTTTAAAAGGCATCATTAGCCTGCTTTCAGTGAAATACATTTTTAGAAGTACAGCTACAGTTAATGAGAGATTTGCCACCAGCTTCAGTAGGATAGTGAGAGATAATACTTTGCTCTGGAAACTCTCATATAATGGACTGCTGTGCCTTTAGGTGTGAGTAGCAGCTTATGTTACTTGTCTAATACTCCACTGAGGATGGTGTTGGAAAAGTGCAGCTATGTTTGATGGACACCATTACTGACTACTGATGTTCTGGCACAGCCTGTCATATACTTCTCAGAAATCAATACATATTCCTGAGTCACATTCCTTGTCCAAGAAGTCAAAACTGGTTGCTTTTCATTCAAGAAGATCTTGGAGTTAATCATCCCATTTTTCCTAATCTAGGGGGAGCCTGCCACCTCTGGGTTAGAACATGGATGGAAAGCCTCCATGTTGTAGCAGGAAGAGGCAATAGCTCAGTGATAAAGTACTTGCAGGGCATGTAGCAGGTCCCAGAATGTGAAGAATCCCACATATACAATTTGGGCTAGGAAATGAGCCTGCTAAAAACTCAAGAGGGCCGTGCCAAAATCCTGCTGCATATCTACACAAATGGCTTAACTTTTGGAGGCAAATTGCCCCAAGTTAAGAATTACTATAGACATCCTCAATTGCACAATAAATTATACAACCTTGCATGCAACTGATAATGTCCTCGATGATTTCTTAAAGTTACGCCATTTGCTCTACACCAGTTTAATGATGTAAGCGGATTTGGGCCATTGTCAGCAATATTGGGCTAGATGGATCAATTGTCTGACCTAGTTAAGGGAGACTGCTGTGGTCATATACAGAATAATTTAAAATATGCTTGAACATACAGCAAATTGCCAACAACAATAAATAACTTGAAGCAAACACTAAGTGCTGTCTGTTAATATTTAAAAAACAAAAATAAAAAAATCACCTGTTCCAGGACTTACACAATTCATTTTACAAAGGATTTAGTTCCAAAAGAGTAAACAGCTGCATAATTTCTCATGCAAAACAAAGCAAAGATTCCTATGGAACCCAGAAGCTTAATGCATTTATAGTTAAATCTGCTTTATTCCTCAAAAGACTATACAGATGCTACACAGGTGCCACAGCAGATAGGTATGAAATCTTATGGGCCAATATATCTGTTAGTATTTGGGATGCTAGAAGACATTTTGTTGTAATTGTTTTACCAACTGGATTCATGTGGCCATATAGTAAGCATTTTGGAATAAAATAAATTCTTCAGATGACTGATGGAAACTTTTAGTTTAAAATACTAGTCATATGTGAAATATGTACATTCTTTAAATATCAAAAATAAGAAGGGTGAGGTTTTGTTTGTTTTTTGTTCCTTCTTATACTCAAATGAGCAGACAGAAGTACTGATTGCAGATTAATCAACATTGTTTTTCTTTTAGAATTCTTGGAAAAGGTAAGAATATAGGATTCCTGTTTGGGATAAATTAATAAATATACTAGTTCCACAGGGCAACTGAAAATTTTCCCTGTAACCACATGCAAATGACTGCCAAACTCTATTATTTATTTATTTAAAATATTTTTACCCCACCTTAAAAGGACCCAAGGCAACTTACATCATTAAAAAGACAACATTTAAAAGCTAAAAACAATAAGTATACAAATATTAAACAAGAATTTTTAAATATTATATTTAAATGGTAAATAAATCAGTACTAGACGCCTGAATTTCTTTCTAGGTCAAGAATGCATTTTTTTAAGTCAAAGAAGGATTCAAAGAGTTACATTAATCATGCTTTAAATCCTCCTGAAATCAGTAGTTCAAGTTCCTTATGAATAGTTGTTGTGGGTTTTTCGGGCTCTTTGGCCGTGTTCTGAAGGTTGTTCTTCGTAACGTTTCGCCAGTCTCTGTGGCTGGCATCTCGAAATGTTAGGAAGAACAAACTTCAGAACACGGCCAAAGAGCCCAAAAAACCCACAACAACCATTAGATCCCGGCAGTGAAAGCCTTCGTGAATACATCCTTATGAATAGATTATGCCTAGTTGTTCTTAGTGGGAATTTAATTGGACTGGGGTCAACAAATCATCTCTTACATTATGCAAATACTGATTGATGCTTAAACATTGAGATAAATGCTCAGACATATTAGGATTATTTTTAACAATATATCTGAATATTATTTGCATTAAAGGGAGAAGAGACCCAAGCACCAGAATGGAGACCATGAAAATCTGATGAATGTGGTAAAAAAAGAAACTTTTATCATTTGAAAATACTTTTTTAAATAGTTTAGGATTTATAATATAAGAGGACATCTGAAACACAGAATGTTTCTATTACATAATGCATGTACACCTGTTATGGGTTTCAGGACTAAGAATACATTCATGGACGTTAGGGTGGGAGACTTTGGTGGTGCACAAATCCTGGTGTGCTCCTCCTGTCCCAACACATTGTTCACCCTGTGAGGAAGGTGATAAATGAGAGTTTTCCATTTAGCAAGTGGGGTAATTGTGCCTTTTCAAAACCAAGCCCCACCCACCCTCATGCACAGAGGGTGAGGCTCCAATGCAGTGGGACAGAGAAAGAGAATGTTGCCTGTTTACATTTATATGAATGTCTGCAAAGGCACTGTTAAACGTGCTCAATTGAATGCATTTACAGGTTGGCTGAAATCTGTTGCTTAGCATAGTAAATCACTCTAGAGTACGCCCAAGGAATCAGTAGGCATTTGATCAGTCCTTCATAACGTCTTTTAATTCAAATGGACTTACTCTAGCTGTGACCTACTGTGCCATACTCTGTTTCTGTGACTAGCGGCCCTTCCTTATCTGGGCTGCTGATCATGGAAACGTCGTAAGTGAAATCAGTTCAACATGTTTCAAAGTCCAATGCAAACCTTTGTCCCCAAAGCACAAAAGTCCATAGGATTTCTGGTTGGCCCAAATACATGAAGGTGGGACTTAAGTACATGCCCACATTTTCATCATCCCTTGAACCCTACACCTTTGAGACAAAATGCCTGACTGGGTTGACACAAACTCTTTATTCAGTAGTATCACTCACCCAGTGCACTATTGGCTAGACTGATAGGAGGTGTAGTCCAGCACAAGTTGTATTTCCTTCCTTCTGATGGACACAAGTTGTATTTCCTTCTGCTATGACACAATGGCTGGAGTCCTGCTGTGCAGCTTTGCCAAAGGTGTAACTTTTAGTGGCAGATTGCTGTGAATTACAAAATCTCTAAGCATTACCTGTTGCATACTGAGTCTCACAACTCAACGTGCAACTAATGTCAGCATGTTGCTACTAAAAGTTATGCCTTTGGATTAACTGCCAATAAGATTTTGGCCAATATAGCTAGGGAACTGGAGTTTTTATTATTAGATATTTTAAAAAACTAATATCCTTCTTCCTTAGCTGGTAGTCATAGATAGCTAAAAGTCCAAGGCAAGTAAAAAAAAATACAGGATTATGTAATTATATGCTTCAGTACAACTGCATTGTAATCTATGGGGAACATAGGGACACAGGCATTTAATATACTGTATATTCTTAGAAAGGTTTGTAAGAGTGGGAGCATGCCCATAGCTCAGCCCCCTGCTTTAGATTGGGCATGAATTCTCAGTGACTTTTTAGTGGATGCTGTGATATATTGTCATTAGAGAGATAAAATATGGTTGGTTTTAATGATGAAATATATATTTTATCAATCATTTAATATATCAGAATCATACATTCATTATATTACAAAATGAAGGATTTAGATTATAAAATGATCAGATGTAAAAGAGTTGGTTTAAAGATGAAAACTGTACAAAAAAGGATAGAATTGGTTGTTTTTGCCAGCATTAAGCGCAGTGATGTAAATCACAGTGGCAATTGCCTTCAGTTAAGGAATTGCTGCTTGTGTTTCTATTTGTATGTCAAGTAACACAACTGGTGCATGAGAAGGAATACAATGGTGATGCTAACTAGCAACAATTCAGTGCTGTTATTTATGCCATAGCATTTGTATCTATATGAATAACCAGAAAGATTTTGACTAAATGTATGAAATAGCATGGCCCAATCCAGAAAACTTGTTTGTCATTATTAATGAGTAAAGATCATGAGGAATAACTTGAACCTGTTCAAGTGGAATCCACACATTTTATTTTGCAGCCCTCTGATAAGGAGGCATTTAGCCACTCTGTCACAAGTCTGACCACAGATCCACTTGCCAGCAGTGAACAAAATGGTGGACTCAGCAATGGTGATGGTAAGGCTCCATTTCATTAGCATTTTGTAAATGGATGTGTAAATTGAAACTATGTGAGGTGATATGAAAGCTCATCTGTGTTATTCAGTCTCTGATGTCTCATGGATTAGCACTTTGTGCTGCACTTATTAAGTTACTTGTGAGTTTGGAAAAGAGTTGAGCAGATAACAGGTGGGTAAATGAATAACTAAACAGTTAAAACAATAGGTTGAATCTAGACTTATTTATAGGGGATGTGGTGGCGCTGGGGGTTAACCTGTAGAAGCTTCTGTGCTGCAAGTTCAGAAGACCAGCAGCCGCAAGATCAAATCCACATGACGGAGTGAATTCTTGTCGCTTGTCCCAGCTCCTGCCAACCTAGCAGTTCGAAAGCATGTAAAAATGCAAATAGATAAATAGGTACCACCTCGGTGGGAAGGTAATGGTGTTCCATGTCTAGTCATGCTGGCCACGTGACCATGGAAACTGTCTACGGACAAATGCTGGCTCTATGGCTTGGAAACGGGGGTGAGTTCCACGCCCTAGCGTCAGACATGACTGGACTAAATATCAAGGGGAACCTTTACCTTTACCTAGACTTATTTATAAGAATATTTCCGTGCTTTTCAGCCCTAACAAATTGTCTCAAGGCAGAATAATAATAATCTTTGAACTCCAGAGCTGGAACAGACCCTATGGATACTCGCGTCCAGCCCCTATCAAGGAAGCACAGTGGGGAATTGAGCTCCCGTCCTCTGGCTCTGCAGTCAGAGACCTAAACCACTGAGCTATACAAAAATGAAACTTTAAAACCAAACTTATAATAGTGGAAAAGCAACCTCACTTTAATATTAGGCATGGGACTTTTGGATTTTTTCACTACAACTTCCAGTATTTCCAAGGAATTTCTCCAGTCAGAATCTTAGTAATTGTTACCAAAAAAAATCCAAGTCCTCAGAGGCAAGTCTGTCTCTGGAGCGATGGTCATCAGTTTAAAGATGAGGGAAATGGGTGGGAGTGGTTTAACTCCATGGAAGCTACAAAGGATTAGGGGACTGGCAGGTTTTTTGAGATGCACAAACCCTAATGAAGAGAGAGATAACCAGTCCCCCAATCCCTTGAAACTCCCATAGAGTTTAGCTACTCCCATCCATTTTCCTCGTCTTTTTCCTCCCTCTTCTGTAGGCTAATGCTTAAAATACTAGCTGGAGCACAGGTGTGTTTTCTGAAACTCCTCCGAGGATTTGGATTTTTCAACTACAGCTATCAGAATTCTGACTAATGAAATTGCGCATGAATTCTGGGAGATGTAGTTTTTTTAAAAAGCATCCAAAGGTTCATAACCTACTTAATATCATGATAGCAGAAGTAAACCTTTTCATATTAAAATAAATAAATAAAAGCATAGAGAACGTAAATGTATTTCCTGCCTGCCTGAAAATATAGAAGTTTGCAAGGGTTCTGCTACAAAAAATATCCTGTCCTACATTATTACCTGTCTCTTGATAGTGGCAAGTACAACAGGTGCAAAGAGACAGTTTTAATCTACAGACAGTTTCATATAGGAGGTGGCATGCACACAGCAGAAACACAGAAATCAACGAGACGAGTCAAATATGACTAATTTAAGTCCCATTGATTTTAGTGGGCCTACTTAAAATATGACTAAACTGGGGCTAAAATCTGTGGGAAACATCTGCTGACAGAACTGTTCCATCTGCAAAATTGGAAATTGTGTTCTTCTCCTTGCGGGTCTCCAGACATTCAAAGGTGGGCTGGGAAACTGTGAAGAGCTGGTTTTCAAGGAAGTCCCATTATGTTGGTACTGTGGAACCCAGATTTAACAAGAGGTCAATAAGGAGAAAGCTTTCTCAAAAAGGAGAAAGCTTTAGAACTACAGTTCCTATAAGGAGAAAATGTTCACAGTGGCATATACTTTGTATATAACCTGGACATCTTTGCCTCAGGTTAGCTCTCCCATGAAGCAGGATGAATTTCTTGTCTCAGGAAGTAGTAAATTACATCCACAAGGGCCACTGAATGCGCTTACTACTATTTTGCAAAAGTGAGACAGCATGGTACATGCAATGAAGAGCCTCAGCAGCTCTTCCCCCCCCCCCTTTGTGGCAAGTGCTGCAGCGCGAGAACAGCCAGTGGGGCTCTCCTGGGCAACAACCTGAATGCTCACTTTGACAATGGTATCTCCATAGCAAGACACTGAGCACATGCTCTGAAGAGCCATGCTGCCTAGAGAAGATATCTGCTGGATGTCTACAGATAGCCGTCCAGATACAAATGTGCCTTACTTGCTCTGAGTGGAAGTGAATCTGAAGTCACTTCTAACCTGTTGGAGAAGCATGGTGGCTCCCTTGGGCTTACAGCTTGGCTACAGGGACAGAAAACATGGCAAAATTGTGTCCCGTTCTCCATAAAGGGTGAGAGTGGCCTTTTAATGTATTGGGCTGTGGAGGGGCACAGTGTGCAATCCCAACACTGCACTTTTCCAGCCCCTGTTCTAAATGATGTTTAGTGAAAGTAATTAACTAGTGTGGTGTCTGCATCAAAAAATTCTCCTTTCCTTTAATGCATCAGTTGGTCTGTCACTGCAGGATTGTGACTACTGCAGTGATACTGATATAAGCAATGTTAATAGCATTAGGATGGCCCATTAGATCATAATAGTTGGATGGAAGTCACGGTAAATGTGCTATCTAAAGACAAAAATTCCATTATCTAGGTAATAAGCCATAGTGCTATGGTGATTTTATGCACACCTCTTGCCAAGCAGTTGTCGCTAAATAGGAAAGCCTGAAGGCGATTAAGATGTCTCAGAATGGGTGTTTCCTGCCTCATCTCTGTCTTTCTCCCCAAGGCAACTTTGTTTTTTTAACAAGAAAATCACCACCTTTCAATGAGCAAGACATCATCTAATACCTGCTTGAAAGAAAACAGTATTTCTAAATAGAATCCCCATAAAACAGGTCTGCTTTTCCGTAGGTGATCCAAAGTAGAGGTAGGAGGATTTATATGGTAGGCCTGTATTCTTGACCATGGTCTTGATGTTACAGTTATCTGCTTATGCTGTGCGTTTATACATTTTTCTCTTAGTTCTATCAGAAGATAGCACAACTGCTTGCATCCAGCCTTATGAAGAAGTGCAGACCTCTGTTACAGATCTGTTGGAACCACAGGATAGTCTAGGAAGGTCTTTAAAATGTCACCAAAGCCGAGAACTTCCCAGAATCCCTCCAAATAGTGCCATAGAAACTATTCTATCTACAAGAAATACAGAAAATGACCAGAGTCTGGCCACAGAGGGACCTTATGAAGTGCTGAAAGACAGCTCCTCGCAGGAAAACATAGTTGAGGACTGCTTGTATGAAACTGTGAAGGAAATTAAGGATCCAGGAACAACAACCAATACAGAGAAGAGCAAATCAAAAGCTATAGTGATTGTTAATGGGAGTCTAAATCATGTTCTTGAGCGCAAGATGGAATCGGCTGAATATGCCTCTGTAGACAGAAATAAAAAAAGCCGTCAGAGTGCTAATTCAGAGAGTCCTCTAAGCAGCACTCCTGACGTGGAAGATGAAGCTCCTCCTCCAGTACCCATGAAACTCCTTGATGAAAATGAGAATGAGCAGGAAAAAGCAGTCAAAGAAGAGGAAGAGGTGATGGAAGGGCCTAGCGAGCCTGACAAGGTACATTTTGCATTGCTTGATTAAAGTATACCATTGTTTGAGACCTGCTCCCACTTTTGCAATGTCTGCTGTGTCAAATGATGTCTTTGGCAGTAAAAGGCGCAAATACACATGATAGGATTGCAGGCTGAGAATCAAGCTGCATATTATCTTTAATATTTAGAAAACAGCTCTGTCTTTTCCTTCTTTATTCAGAAGTAAAATAGAGCTGAATTAAGTAGCACACTGGTATGGTATGAGCATTAGTCCTTTGCCCCACTGTAGTCCTGATTTGCAGTTAGCCTAAGGGGAAATGCTGAAGGAAATGGAGACATTTCCCTATATAATTTGTAACCGTGGGGCCTGAATCTGGATTGGAACTTCAGCAGATGGGGGAAAGGTTCAACCCATCCCCCACACTTTAAGATCCCATACTAATTTGCCTTCCCCAGCACATAAACAATGCTTTTGAATTGGGAAAATTGTTGCATGCTACCTATCTGTATACTTTGACCTTAACTTGGTAGGATGGATACACACTAAGGTTAAAACATGATGGAATCGCTTTCTTTTTGTAGATAAAACCCTAGATGCTGCTGTTTTGTTTTCACTTAGAAAACATTTGATTCATCTTGAGTTGAAATATTTCTTGTCTCAAAGTCCAGAGACATTGCAATGGCCCTTAATTGTGTTTGCTATTTTTTTTATAAGCTTCCTTCTGGCTTCTGCAAAAAAACATTGTAAATATTCTTTAAGAAAAAATTTCCCAAAGTTGTGATGAAATAAGATGCCATAAGAAATTAAGTGCTATCTTTGCTGCTTTTCAAGAGAGCCAGTGACTGAAGTGAATGTCTCCTCTCCAGCTAAGAAAAAGACTGAAAAGCATAAAAACAGTTATGAATTTGGTAGTGACTTATACTGGTGTTCCAGCAACATTATTAAGGCACCATAAACTTAGCCAGCCTAACATCCAGCAGTTTGTTTATGTATGTACACTGCTGCTGACTTACTCAGATTTCAGTGAAAGCTCAAAAATCTAATAGAACTTGATCTTATGTCATTACTGAATCATTTAACCCATCATTACACCACAAATAACAAAGGTTCTGCTGCATCTAAAAGCTCTACTTAACTCACAGATGAAACTGTAGTTTAGTTTTCACTCACATGGAAATGGATGGGTTATAAACAATACTGATTTGTAGAAGCGTGGCTGTTAATAAGGATTGTTTTTTTCTCCTTCTTTATCAGAGGCTTAGTTCATTGTCTTACAAATCACGAGAAGATGATCCATCTCTTACAGAAGAAGAGGTGAGTTTCTTCTGATATGAAGTATGTAATACACACACACATATATATTTATTGCGTAGCACACAGGCTGTTGCAGAGTACATCAAATAAAAACAACATAATACAGTACAATTCAATACACTGTAGTATGAGGAAGAGAACTAAAACCAGGTTAAATTTCTATCACAGCTAAAAACCTCTAACGTCTTAAAAATACCCTAGGGAAAACTAAGTGAAGGCAGTTGAAATACAATATCTGGTGCCAATAACAAGCATCTATCGCAGAAAGGGGGCCCCAAAGGGTACATGAACCTAAATAACAGCTTGATTAGTAGTAGTAGGGGCTACGAGTTTTATTTTCATTTTCATAAGTATAGATATAAACCTTGCCATTCGAAATGTAATAAATTTATTTCTGTCTGAGAGTAGGATCCTGAGCATTTTCTGGACAGGTCTTCCAGGATATTTTTCCAGAATAGGCTTCAAAAGCCATTTGAATATGTAATAATTCCTTTCACCAGCAATAAATCAGTATCTAAGTGCTGTAAGGAGGTCTGGGAATGATGGGCAAATCTAGAGGTGAAACATTCATGTGCAGATCTTGCAGCATGCTATGCGTTTTACTGATGAAGAAACCCTCTTCTCTTGCTGGTTTCATACTTAGTGCTCCCACACTAGCATGGGGCAGGGCACCTCAAACTGGAATTGAGTTCCACCAGAGGGCTCTCCTCTTAGGAATGTACGTATGAAGGGCCAACATTGTTGTGAAACCTGTGGTTCCAAAGAGACCCGACCTGACCCCCAAAATGCGCAGCAATGACTCATCTTTTCTCCCATTATTCAGGAGGTTTTCTGGAATGGCGTGCATTGCAGCTGTGTCTGTCATGAGGGAAAAGAATTGGCAAATTGCTTCCCTGTTGGCACAAGTCTTACTATGGAAGCCAAACTAAGTCACTAAAATATTCTTAGGCGCATTGTCTAAAGATATTCTAAAGGGAAAATGGAAGTTTCTTGCATAGGAAAATAAAATGGAAATTGGATGACAAATAATGGCATATCATTAGGTTTATCTTTTTCCCTGGAGCTGGACACAACATTGCCCTTCCTCATGCCTACTATAGGACGTACACGAAAGTACTGTATTATAATAATCTCTTCTACCTACAATGACCTTTCCCCTGAGGGAAAATGTTGAACCCCAAAGAAAGGCAAATACAAAGTCAAAATTTCTGAAAGACATTTCGCTAAGAAACATGCTAAGATTTTTTTTCATTCTCCATTTGAAACAGAAGGTTGTGTTTTCAGAGTTTGTTCCAAAGGTTATCCACCATTTTTGATGGTTGAATCTCACCTCACCCCCATCACCACCCACCACCACAATGCCCTAGAAGGACTCTAGGTAGAAGACATTGTGGAGGAAGCAAAATGGTGCCCAGGCGGCTGAGCAATTGTTTTTGGTACCATTTACATGGCAATGAAACAACAAAACAAAAACAAAAAACTCTTTTAGAGGAGGAAAAAGAACATAGCTGGGCTATGAAGTCAGCTGATGTTGATCCCCACCTCTGAAAAACTGTTGGATAATTTCTCCTTGCCTTAGGAAAATTCGTGATATTGTTTCGGCAGTTTCTCTTTCTACAAATAGGGTGGAGAGTTTCAAAAAGCCATTTGTGTGCAGCTGTAACTGGTAGCTTTATAAATATATTAGTCTCATAACAAATAAAGTGTATATAAAATATTTCTGAATTATAGTGAAGTCTTTAAGGCAAGGATCAGGGCCTTGGGGCTGGCATGAATAAACACCCTTCAAATGCATCTTTGATAGAGTATATTCTAGATGTAGCCTACTGCCTACCTTTGTTATCTCCACGTTTGCCATAAAAATAGTAACAATAATTATATGCCATCAAGTTTGATGTTATGGTGACTTTTGTAAGATTTTCAAGATATAGCTTGCCATTCCCTTATTCTTGGGACCTTCTAGGACTATGCACCTTGGTTAAAGCCACAGATTGGTTCTTCTTCCACAGTGAGGAATCAAACTCCCAACCTCTGGCTCTGCAGCCAGATGTCTAATTCTCTGAGCACCCAGCAAGAATACCAGTATGGTGCCTAAAATTGTGGTTTAACCTCTAGCTACAAGCCAGCACACCTAATGGCACGAGGAACACATACCCAGAGTGCTCATTCTCCATCCAGTAAACCAGTGGTTCCCAACTTTGAATCCCAAAACATTAGACTAAAACTCCCAGAAGCCTTCACCAGTACCTGTGCTGACCACAATTTCTGGGATTTGTAGTTCAAGAACATCTCAGAACCCAATATTGGAAACCACTGCAATAATCCATTACAGTGGTGCCTCACTTGATGATGTTAATTCGTTCCAGCGAAATCACTGTAGAGCAAAAACATCATCAAGCGAAATTTAAAAACCCATTGAAATGCATTAAAACCCAGTTAATGCATTCCAATGGGCTGAATACCTGCTTGTCCAGCGAAGATCCTCCATACAGCGGCCATTTTCTGTGCCTGTAAAGCAAGGAATCCATCCTAGAAAACAGCAGGGGAACATTTTGAAAGCCGTCGGCCATTTTGAAACCCGTCAATCAGCTGCTTTCTGATCATCGTAAAGCAAAAAATCAGTTCCCGAAAGAGGGAACTGATCAACATGAAGCGAAATTCCCCCATTGAAAACATCGTTTTGCAATCGCTTTTGCTATCGCAAAAACGTCGACGTAATGCGGATTCGTTGTAGAACGGGGCAATCGTCCAGCGGGGCACGACTGTACTTCTTGATCTTATATGTTAACATATGAACTGGCATCATGTGCAGCATCAAGGAATTATAAAACAATTACATGAAGTTTGCTGTTGTTAGGTACTTAATTTATTTTCCCTTTCTCACCTCTTACAGATTTCAGCAATGTACTCTTCTGTAAACAAACCAGGGCAGGCCAACAGAAACCTGGAATCTACATATACCTGTATCCCAGAAATTGTACCTCCAAAATCACCATCCATTTGCAGTGGCCTCTATGCCAGTGTGAAGGACTTGGAAAATATCCCAAACTGTACCACTATGCCTCAGTCATCAGAGAGACTAAATGGGGAGTTAGAGCCAGACTACGAAGCAATACAGACTTTAAATCGTGAAGAAGACAGAAACGGTTTGGTTCTGAATAGCAGCCAGTCACTCCTCTCCCAAGAGAACGACTATGAAAGTATTGGAGACTTGCAGCAAAACAAGGATATCACAAGGCTTTAACTATGTCAGACACACATTTATGAGTTATGATAACTGATCTACTGGCACACATTTCAAGATACCCAAGTTGGATTCACTTTGCATCTTGATCACTTTCAAGCTTGGCTCATAGATGAATGTGTGAAATTGTGTCCAATTTCACAAGCATTTCATTTGCCATGAGGGCAGGATATGAAAGCTCAGCCTGGGATATTTGATCACTGGTGGCTGTTGAACACATGCAGGTCAACTTGTATATCTGGTCTTGCTCTGGGAATTGGAAAAGGGGCTGTTACTCTTTCTGAAGAACAGAGAAGGGCCACGGGGAAGAAGAAATAAGCTTTTGGGGGAAAATATTTGTATGTTTTGCCAAAATGTGCAGTATTACTTGCCTGCTCATGTGGATGGTGGTGACCACAATAAGAGACAGATAAAAAAATCCAGGTGGAAGGTACTAAAAAGACCTCAATGTTTGGTGAAAAGTGCCATGGTTTGTCACTTAATTTATAGAGTGTGTGTGTGAAAAGAAAATGAGAGATATATCCAAATACACATTGCCATTAAAAATCCAGGCTTCAATTTACATTAAAATACTATTTTGTCATGTATTTCAAACATTTTATGACAGTGTACTGTACTAGCACCCTGTAGACTATTTTAGGATGTTTTCATACATGCCTCACACCGTATGTTTGTGGTGTTTGGTACGCACAGCACAATATTACCTATTCACATATAAGAGCAAAGTGCTAGTTTGCAGTAACATATTATACACAATCACAGGGATTTTGGGTCTCCATTTCTGAGAAATTACAACCTATGTGTTTGGAAGTAGCTTGCAGTCTCATTTGGTCTATTGTGGTCTTACAGCAAGGGTGGACAGTTTTGGTAGCTCCAGGGGCCAGTTTTCTATACTTCTAGGGAGCCACATAGATGGCAAAAAATGCTGAGAAATACCAAAAAGCAATCCTATGGGTGGCAAGTGACCACTTCCAGTTTTTTAAAAATGTGAACTTTCCCTCTTAAATGGTACAAGGGGCTCCTGTCATTTAAAGAGTGGGTCACTGCTCTAGCAGGCTTCTGAAAGCTCAGTTCACCCATTTTTGCTGGAAAAGTAAGGGACCAAGAGAGAGAACTGAAAGCCCCCCCCCCAAAAAAAACCCTCTTGGAGCAGTCCTGCATTCCTGATCTACAGAATACTATCATTTCCAAACGTTCTAAGGCCACAAAACTTGAATTAATATTGTAAAATGCATTGTAATAATATCCCACATAGCATTATCCTATAAACTGTATGCATTTAGATCTTCCATTTTCTTATTGGAGATAAAACCTTGATGCTTGAAATGTTTAGGATTTAATGAACACAATGCTACCTTTGTTCCCCAATGACTTAAATTTTTTATTAGATTATGTTACCTCTTCAAACAGGCTGCAAGATTTTGCATCAGATGTACTTCCTACACAGGCAGGTACTTAATGCATGTTTAAAAAAATATCTTCTTGTATCAAGTGCTAAATAAAATACTAGTGGTACTATAGAATTCAGAATTGATGAGGTGTGCAGGCCTGGAGTGACAGCAAAGTATTCAGGATACTGAAGTTTAAAGCAGGCTATAAACATTATTTAATTAAACTGAGAATCCGTTCACATGAGGTGGGGCAGGGGCAGCTCCTAACAGACTCAGAGGATGCTTTCAGTAATCTGTGCAGGGGAAATGTTGTCATGAGAAAACGTGCTTTCTAGTCATGAATCTAAGCACCTGTGAACAAATGGAGGTCAAGTTTTAAACTATCACATCTTACCTTTTGATCTTTTTCACATCCTCTTCCCTAACACAGGTATCTAATTACAGTTGCAACCTGGTTTATATATTGTATATATGGCATCTTGTCCCAGTCTTCGTTTATCTGATTCACAGCATTTAGAAAGGATGTAGCTTCTAAGGGCTTCCTGCATGTACAGTGGTTTTTGGTGGGTTTTTTTTTTTTTGGTAGTATTAACTAGTAGAATATGTAAATGACAGGGGACTTCCACACATTCAGCAGCACGTATGCATGCTTTAAGGAGCCGCAACAGGAAGAGGTGTGAAGTAGCTCTAGGTATTTATTTAGGGTTACTCTGCAAACTTTAGAAAGACTGAAAGATTATACACATCCATTCTCTGGATGATTTAAAATTTCTAAATCTGATACAAGTTTCCAGAAAACATGTTGCCGCTGAAATGCAGCCTTGTCCTAAACACCCACTCAAGCTGGTGTGTGAACACCAGTGATAACACCAACTGCCATGTGATAGTTGGTTGCTTTAAATAAGCTGTCATATGAACTGAGTGCTTATCAACTAATGCAGCTTGCCACGTACATTTACTGTCACTGTTATAAATGGAGACTTTCTGCACATTACAGCCTCCATTTAAAGGCCAATCCAAATGGCCTTCCTCCAGAGCTTTGGAAAGTTACTTTTTGGATTACAGTTCCTGAATCCCTCAGCCAGCAACAACAACATGTTGCAAGTGGTGCCATCAGCTGGCTGATGCTCTATGCAGCTGTGATAATGCCCAAGGCATCATCCCCATTTCATGGCAAGCATCCATACTACTACCAGATACGCTTGGTATCAACTTCAGTGGCATGTCCCTCAGTGTCCCCATCTTGATGACCCATGGACTCAAATATCTTAAATATATTATAATCACCATGTAGGGAAACTTGTCTCCCTCCAAATTCATAGCATGTAAATTGGTGGTTGTACTGTAGACTTGAAGTAGTGGCACTTGGCACTTAGTGAGGGACAGTGATCTCAGTAGCATCAATATCACAGTTTTCGTGGCAAATATATGGGATATATTTAGGAGGTAGAAAGCATATTCCTTTCATACACATAGGGTGTATCAGAGTCCTTTATTATCAGGTGCCATTTTTTAAAAAAATAAGCACTGATAATAGACTAATCTGAAATGAATGATTTGCTGATGTTGGATTATCTATTTAAAGGGCCAGTTCACAGAAAAGCCACACAAACTATGTATTTCCATGTGGGTGAGCAAGGATGATCCAAAACGTTTTGCTGCCTGAGGTGGCAGCATATGGCACCCTCCATCCTTAAATCAAAGTGCATAATATGTAAAACCAGTCAATTTATTTGGGCACCTGGGACAGAAAATTTCTGACTTCCTTTATGGCAGTTAAACACAAGAATAATCTTTCAAACAATTAACAATTTGTTGCCCTTCATGACACATAAAATCTGCCATGTGAGACAGCTGCTTCATTCTGTAGTAATAACAGGTCTTCCCCTGCCTGCTTGTACATTCAGACAGCACAAGAAAAGGCGTGCCATATATGCTAATTTATACATGTGAAGTTGGAAGGTTCTAGGGCACGGTCAGTGCCCTCCATTGTATGGAGCACAGATGGGTGGGCAAGCATTTCTGCTACAGCTGTTAATTATTGGGGCCCAGTTGCTCCTCAGGCAGCCCTAGTCAATATGGTCAACAGTTACATTTTCTTTCCACTCAGTTGAGGGGGCCGTGGTTGTGTGTACCACCCTTTTGAATAAATACCTTCTTACTATTATACAAACTATTATCAGGATTCATGCTGATAATAGTTTGTTATCTTTTGTTACGGGTAGGCATTTGCCCTTGGCAGCTAAGTTTGTGTTGGTCATCATATTCCTCAGGGCATAAAACACTGTGCCTTTAGAAATCCACCTTACATGGCATTTTCTCGACAGCAAGAGTTCCTTCATTACATTATATGTGGTGCTTTCTCTTAAATGTTATTAATAATGGTGCTTTTTAAAATATCCTGAAAGCTATTGGTCTCTGTATATATTCCTGAGAGCTAAGCTGTACTTTTCATTAAAAGGAACATCTATATGTGCTGCATAGCTTGAAATCACATCTGCTCAGGACTATCATGCAGCTCGGGCGTCAAATAAGACAGATGTTTTGTGCTGAAAAAGACAACTTGAATCTCTCTACTATATGCTGAGTGTACTTCGTCTGTGTTCAGAGATGTGTTATTCAATATTCTGTATACATATCAATCAAAAGCAGTAAAGTTTTCTGCAAAGGAAAAGTTGAATCAAGCCACATACCTAATCCTAGGAAATACAGACTTTGATCTTGAGCCAATGTGTGTTACATCTTCTTTAGTGTTTAGGCAAATCTGTGCAAAGTTTTTGCAGAGGATTAGATGTACTCATCTGTCAATGGTGCTGAGCCAAGTTTTGCCATCCATGTAGCAAAAGACAGCTGTAGCCATATAAGCAGAATTGCCTTTATTTCCCACAAGTTGATTCCATACAGAAACATATCCGGACATCTCATTTGTTATCCTCTGTTAAAGCAGGAGCTTATGCAGAAATGGAATAGACTCTAAAATGTCTCAGACAGTACAGGTAGAACAAGGGTTTCACTCAATGTTAGGTAGTTTGCATACACTACCATTGTAGAGAGTTCTGTGTTGATCATATAATAAACAAGCAGATTTATTACCACTTACCATGCTAATTTATAAATAATTGTTTATAAACAACCTCACAGAGAAGCCCCATGTAAGGCAAGTTGGAAAATGCCTTGAAGACCAGGTTTTCCCCCTAAAAACAAACTATCTTAAAAGCAAATATATGAAACATCATCCCTCATGAGCTAACTGCAAACATGTGTCTGAAAGTCTTAAGAGGCTGAAGGGGGATGATATGAGTAGGGAAAGAATCAACACAGAAAGGATTCTTCTTGTGCTTTTCTGCTCTGATATGCTCCCCATCAAAGCAGCTTCTCATTTCAAAATTCATTATTTCTGTTTTTGTGTTGGAGTACAGTTTGGTTCTCAGAGACAAAATTTTGTCTGTTGACTCCACTTTTTTCATGGTTATAAAAATTAACATGATTTATAGAACCAGAATTTCTTTCTTTTTTTCCTTTTAATCTAAGATGACTTAGGTTTAAAAAAAAGGAAAGAAATGAGGGAGAGAAGGAGGGAACAGACGCCTTTTCAACAGAACACCCTGAAAAGCACATTTTCAGCCAAGACAAGTACCTTCTGGAAAAAACCAAGCACCTTTCAAACAACAGATCACCTTGAAAAGCACCTTTTAAATCAAGACAAGCCAATACAAGCACCTTTTGGGGAAAGGGGGGGGGCAGCAAAGGAGGGAGGGAACACCTTTTAAAAATCCAAAAATCAAAAATTAAAAAAGCGCCAAAAAATAAAAATACAGTCCGTACCGCACTGTACCAGGCAATACCAGCAGTACCAGGCAGTCTGAAAACTGTCTCCAAATCCACTCTCAAAACGCTGGGAAGATCGAGGAAGTAGATAAGCACCCTCTTCACTGGTTTGTAACTCGAATCTAAGTGTGCAAGTCGAGTCAATATTTTTCTATCAGAGTGGTTTGTAAGTCGAAATGTTTGTAACTCGAACCGTTTGTAAGTCGAGGGTTGACTGTATATGAAATATCATCCCTCATGAGCTAATTGCAAACATGTGTCTGAAACTCTTAAGAAGGGGGGATGATTTGAGTAGGGAAAGAAGCAACACAGAAAGGATCCTTCTTGTGCTTTTCTGCTCTGAAATGCTCCCCATCAAAGCAGCTTCTCATTTTAAAATTCATTATTTCTGTTTTTGTGTTGGAGTATAGTTTTGTTCTCAGAAACAAAATTTTGTCTGTTGACTCCACTTTTTTCATGGAAATATGGCCATGTCTTTCAAAATACCATGAGACATGCTGCTCTGTGAGATTTTTTAAATTCTAGTTGTCCTGGAGTCTGCTGATTCAACAGGAAAAGACTGATAAGTGATGTGCTGAGAAAGTAGTCAGAGAACTCCTAGATGTGGCTTTCAAAGCAGTGAGCGTGAAGCAGATAGAAATATGCATGCGAAAGCTATGGACGTATTTCTGATTATAAGACTCTGGGCTAAATCTAACTGTTAATCCTAACTAGGACAAAAAACATTAAATTGTGGTGTGATCAGATGGGCAAAACTGTCACAGGTAATCAACGCAGGTAGTCAAGGTTCATCTCAAAGGGGACAACAAATAGCTGTATCTACCCTGCACTGCAAAAACCATACCTTTGAAAATACCCTCTCTGAGCTTTTCAGGAAAGTGGAAAATCCACCTCCTTGCTGCAGCATTGCCTCTGGAAGATTTGCATGGATTTTAAATGTAAACATCAGTGCTAATATAAGGTTTCTGACTGTGAGTCTTTGAAACGGAACTGAACTTCTTCTAGGAAGTGTTGTAGCACTAAGCTCTGCCCTTAGGAAGAAATCCTGGGACAAAAATACTACTACAAATGGATGTCAGAAAGAAAAATACAGATACTGTCAGAGTACAAGTTGCACTGTCTGGGCTGAACATAATCACACCAGCTAGCAGCTGCATTTCACTCTGCTTTAATAACAGCTACAGATTTTATTGGGTCTTGCATGTTGCACATGTCTAAAGAACAATTTACACATTTATAAATGCATCCTATTCCCCCGCCAGTTCCAACTTTACCTATAGATGGGGAGAAGGGGGGGATCTAATTAAAAGCTCCCTCAAAATTTGCACCAACTTTGTGGGGTCATGAAGCATGCAGGATCCAAGGTGGCTCAAGCTTTCCTGCCATTTGAGGTAGGAAGTGAACTGCTCTCATTACTATGGAAGGTTAATCCCAATGTAGAAAACCTGCCCCTTCCATTGTAGCAGTAGCAGTAGCCTCCCAGCACTGCCAAAGCCCAACAAGGTTGTTTTCAGAACTGTGGTGGCTGCTTCCACATATCTAAGGAGTTTAAATGCTTGGCTGGGGTATGAGGAGGCTTCAAAACCAGAAACCATGATAGGGATGACCCAGGGAGATTGAGCATAGCACAAATGATTTATTATATCAGCCCTCCTGTAGTGCCTGGTTCTAGAGGTCCTGTAGTGCCATATGTTAAAGAATTCTTGATTCTGACAAACTGCACAGAGCAGCTCCCTAGAGCAGCCATTCTCAGAGGGGGCCGTATGGCCCATTGAGGAGCCCTGGCACATTTGAAGGGGGCCACAGACTGAAAACAATTCTTCACACACCATCTTATATAGTAATGTTTGTTACGCAAAATATACAATCCTGACTCAGCCTATTATTACGTTTGTGGCCATGGCCAAAAAAAGATTTATGGCTACTCTAAGCACCAAGGACCATTTTAGGGAGGAGAAATGGCAATACATAACTCCTGGCAATCTGTCACCTGAGGTAGCCTTCTCATTCTGTCCAGTGATAGGGCTAACATTGCATTGTGCCATAACATGTAGCAGAAATCAAGCTGCTCCCTTAAAATCCTGAAATAAATCAACTTTCTTTCCAGACAAAGTGTTATGGCTACTCTAAGCACCAAGGACCATTTTAGGGAGGAGAAATGGCAATACATAACTCCTGGCAATCTGTCACCTGAGGTAGCCTTCTCATTCTGTCCAGTGATAGGGCTAACATTGCATTGTGCCATAACATGTAGCAGAAATCAAGCTGCTCCCTTAAAATCCTGAAATAAATCAACTTTCTTTCCAGACAAAGTGTCTCAGGTCCTTGGGTAGCAAAGGGGAAATCTGGGGTGGGGGTGGGGGTAGGGAGAGCCTACTGCAAAGTGTTCATTGGTCAACAGGTTAATTTTTTATACTCTGTGTTAATTTATAGAGGTTTTAAAGTTAAGTTTTCACAAGTCATTATTTACTGCTTTTCTCCCATGATTGAGACACTAATCTTTATGGGGAAGATTATGAGAAGAAGAAATATGTTTGTGCATTGAGTGTTCAGAAGGAAAGCTTACAATCGACATATAAAAGTTTCAGTGCAATCATGTTTGAACAAAGCCGAGGGAATTAAATTATAAATCAGAGTTTGGAAAAATGTCTTTTTCAGTCCAACTGCTCCCAGAATCCCCCAGCCCCAGCATCACCGTGAGGCCAAACAAAAAGCAAAACAAAACAAAAAAGCAGGGGTGATAGACTTTGGTTCTGTATAACTTTCTAGGTAATAAAAGGAAAAGGTTTGTAAATAAAACCACTAATATTTTTATTCTGCCTGTTTAGTCAAAGGCCTCCTTCATATTCAAGTTTCAACAAAAAGGTTGTCTTTGCCTGTTTCCCCCCAGTCTTCTATGGACTGTTAACATCTTCACAAGGATATGCCTTGGAAGTAATTATCTTTTCTTTTAAAAGGTGTCATATGTACACTTCAGCATAACAGATATTTGGCTGTGGATGTGTATTTTAAAACATGTATGTTATACATTTATGGTCAGGTTTTTCATCAGAATTCAGTAACCACTTTTATTAACACTAAGTTTCTAATTACTACTTTGAACCACTTGATAAACTGAGGTTCAGCCTGGAGAAATTACGTTTTTGGAATTACAGCTCCTAGAATTTCCCCAATGGAACAAAAACGGCCTGTTACGGGATTAATCGGTTTTCAATGCACTGTAGGTCAATGGAGACTTGACTTACAGACTTTTTGACTTGAGAACCGCCTTCCAATATGGATTAAGTTCTCAAGTCAAGACCCCACTGTAAGTTTCTAATTACTGCTTTGAACCACTTGATGAACTGAGGTTCAGCCTGGAGAAATTACTTTTTGGAATTACTGCTCCTAGAATTCCCCAGCCAATGTGATTCTGGCAATTACAATCCAAAAATTTACCTTGTTCAAGTGTCCACACACACCTGTTTGCATAATACACTTGAGAAGCTCCTGCATGAATAGACCATCATTCTTTGAGATTCATAAGGTAGAAATGCATGTCTAAAGAAATGTTTGTAGTATCATCGCCTTCCTCCATTGGAATGCATGTTTCTACTAATGGAGGCAAAAATTTCTATACACACATCTGAGCTGGGATTGTAAATGATTGCCCACTTGCACCACTGACTTCAATTGGCCCAAAGTGAATGTAACCTATGATGAATTGCAATTGCTGTGAATAGAAATCACTATTAATATTTTACTGCTATGGCAACTTCACATACAATAAGTGAGGAGTGGTTTTTTAACAATCTGTCTGGTTATAGTTTTATATTCTATATAGAGTTTTATACACTGAGCTAGCAGGCAGAAAAGTAGTGTCATTTTCAGAAATTATGTACCACAAATTGCAGCTTT